ACAAGACGATCGCGGATGATTTAGTTTTGAAACTAGGTGCAAAAGCGCCTGTTTGGCAATATTTTGGATTTTGAAAAGCCTGTTGACTTTTGCCGTTTATCTAAAGTGATTTTGGTAGTTTTTTTAAACATTTGTTTCTTATTTAATTGGTTCCACATTGTTTGCTCATTTTTACTTTATTTAAACTTTGTGTCATTTATTTATTTTATTTGACATCAAGGTGTGCCTCCAAGCTTTCTTACTCGTTTTGCTAATAAACGTTCTACGTTTCTTATTTATTTGGTTATATATTATACGTTTACTTAGCCTATTTCCAGTTTTGTATACCTATTAAACTTTATGTAAGTTATTTGTTATTTTATATTAGGCATACCCTGCCCTATAGCATGGTGTATTTGTATTTGTTTTGTTAATAAAAGTGATATGTTATATACGCTAAAGTGAGTTTGACGTTGTATTTTGCTGTTGCATTCAAGCAATTGACGCCGAACTGCCGCTAATTCAAAAGTGAAAGTAAAATGCAGACGGTGCTTTTAAGCTATTTAAAAGCGACGGAAAGCGAGGAAAAGAGGGAAAATTCAAACGAACTAAAAACGAACAATTGCTTTACTCCGAATTGCCGCTATTTGAAAGTGAAAGTAAAAGTAAAACGCGCGCACAGCTTTTACAAGCTATTTAAAAGCGAAGGAAAGCGAGGAAAAGAAGGAACGCCCCGCGGTGATACCGGTATTACCGGTGTTGTCACACGTCGATTAACCGGTGGGAAAATTTCCTCACCGTCACAACCCTACTGGTGGCCCGCCACAGTATCAAAACTGACCGCCACAAATAGATTTTCCACAAGGCTTTGACTTCGTTGAATAAACATGAGCACTGCACATGTCAAAGTCAAAACCCGGTGCGGGTGTTTTTATATCACTGTATTTCTGAAGGAAACCAACTGTCTTCAGAAAATTATGGATGTAATTTTCATTTCATCTTGCCTGTAAAGTCTGATAAAGCAGCGTTTGTGAGCGCAGCGCTTATTTGATTACAGCTGTTACCGGGGAACCCTGATCTCTCCCGCTCTAAGCGCCTCCTGCTGGCAGAGAATGAATCTGCATATATATGCCACCACAAATAGAGTGCAAGTCTGCAGGAAACACCGCTTCTGTTATGAATATTATTCAATATTTTTTTGTGTTTTGCTTTGGTACCGAAATTGGTACCGAGAACCGTGGATTTTCACTGGTATTGGTACCGAATACTGACATTTTGGTACCGTGACAACACTATTACGTAGCTTACATTACTTGTAATGCGTTACTACCCCCGACACTGATAATCTAGTAGCGACTGTCATTTCTTCTTATCATTACAGTGTTAAAGTTGGCGTTGGCCATTTCAAATCGAGGCGTTATGTAGAAGCAATGAATGAGTACAACAAGGCCTTAGAGATCGACACAAACAACGTGGAAGCTCTTGTGGCACGTGGAGCTCTGTGAGTCACGATAAAACCATGTTCATGTGAAGAGACATATTTGTATGTTTATTGTTGTACTTTGTTACATAATTAAAGCGTTTACATAAAGAGTCTTGTTTTATTTGATTGTAGATATGCAACCAAAGGAAGCTTGATGAAAGCTATTGATGACTTTGAACTGGCCTTGGAGAACTGCCCCACGCACAGGAACGCCAAAAAATACCTCTGCCAGACACTAGTGGAAAGAGGAGGACAGTACGTCATCGAGAAATAGTGTTGCTACTTCTAGTTCTTCGTTGGAGATTAGTTTCATACTTGAGTGTGACAAAAAATAACAGAAAAAGTACACAAGAAATGCCTTGAGAAGTTATGCATTACGGTCCTTGATTCTGATTGGTTGAGCCGCGTTCAAAGCTGTTGTAAATTACTCTACAAACATACACCTTTGTTTACTTCTGTGTGTTGCTCGGCAACCACTTTGTTGGAACCACAACTGATTCTGAGGAACTACATTGTTTGGTGGAAGAATACTGTTTTTATTAATATCATTACACTTTAGTTGCTCTGTTTTATTTTGTGAAACCTTACTACGTATACGGAATAATCGTTTTATAAAAGCAATAAACCCTGTGAAGTCGTGGTTTACAGTGAATTTATAACAGCTTCGCGTCGTGCCTAACAACGCCCCTTAGCTGTTATAAATTCACTGTAAACCACGGCTTCACGGGGCTTATTGCTTTATTTTACCATGATTTTAGCTGCATTTACATTGCCGGCTTAATGATCAGATCCAATATTGTGACATCCTTTTTTGTGTGACCTGCCTTTTAAAATATACTTAAAAAGATCGTTCACCCCAAAATTTAAATTTGCTGTTGATTTACTCACCCTCAGGCCATCCAAGATGTAGGTGACTTTTTCTTCAGTAGGGCAGTAAAGACGATTTTTAGCCGAAACCGTGCTCCTTGATGATTCGTGAATTTCAAGTTAGTGGCTGCCCGTCTTTGAGAATAAAAAAGCAAACCAAAGGACACAGAATGAATACAACCAACCTGTCTGTCACCTGACATTTACATGCACATTATATTTAAGCTGATTATTCCGGTTAAGCTTTTATTCCAAACAAAAGATGAAATGCATCTATTCAGAATGTTCCCGTATGTGTGTCATGTTTGTTTTGTTTCTTACTGTTCACGTCTAGAAATAGCAGAGATGCTCACTCATACAGTTTGTTATAATTAAACCTTGCTATTTAAGTGCAAGGCTTGTGCAATCACCCAAAACACCCTAGAAATCACCTATAATTAACCAATTGTAATGCTTGAGCAGCTACCAAAACACCATACCAGCCATGTAGCAATGCCCTAACAACAGCAATATCCTTTTGTAAACCATCAGTCTTCAAGAACACCTTGGCAACCATCATAATAAAGGTCCAGTTTGTCAAATATCAATATAGACTATGTAGATAGGAAGACTCACTGCATTAATATTGAATTCAGTTGTTGTGTGGAGGTGTGTAGGCTGTGGTACATCATCTTTAGCATTCTTTGAGCACTGGATTTTGTAATAATTTCGGTATGCCTTAAATTCTTCCAAAATGAGTTTTGATGGAGCTCTGTTTTGTTTTTGTTTTTTTTTTTGCATAGACTTGAAGAGGAAGAAAAGTTGGTGACTGCTGAGGGTCTCTACAAAAGAGCCATTGTATTAGATAACACATTTCAAGGGGCAGCAGAAGCCCTGGAGAAACTTCAGCTACGCATCCAGGTGAGCTAGATAAACCTGTCTGTCATGAATGCATGGTTGGCCACCACTGCAGATTTTCTCAGAATAATAGCTTCCAGTGTTACGGGTAACCAGATACAGTCTTGTGTTAAAGGAATAGTTCACCCAAAAATGACACTTTGCTTAAGGTTTACTCACCCTCAGGCTATTCGAGATGTAGATGAGTTTGTTTCTTCATCAGATTTGGAGAAGGCCATCCAAGATGTAGATGAGTTTGTTTCTTCGTCAGATTTGGAGAAATGTACCATTACATCACTTGCTCACCAATGAATGTGAATGGGTGCCGTCAGAATGAGAGTCCAAACAGCTGATAAAAACATCACAATAATCCACAAGTAATCCACACCACTCCAGTCCATCAGTTAACATCTTGTGAAACCAAAAGATGCGTGTTTGTAAGAAACAAATCCATAATAAAGGCCAAATAATACATAACACTTCCTCCAGTGAAAAAGTAATTTCATCTGAATCAGTAGAGAAAAATGCACGGATCAAGCACCGATCTCTTCTCAAGACATTAATCTGGGGTGGTGTGGATCACTTGTGGATTATTGTGATGTTTTTATTAGCGGTTTTGACTCTCATTCTGACGGCACCCATCCACATCCATTGGTGAGCAAGTGATGTAATGCTACATTTCTCAGAATATAATGAAGAAACAAACTCATCTACATCTCAGATGGCCTGAGGGTGTGTACATTTTTAGCAAATTTTCATTTTTGGTACACTGATACACTGCATTTTTTTCTTTATCAAGACGTTCATTTTAACTGTCGAGTATTGCAGTACTGATGAAGTATTTTTGTCATTTATGTGTCTATCTGATCTTGGACCTGTGAAACCTGACTGATGGGACCTTTAACCCTGATTGCACTGGGTTGACATAAATGCCCCATGTGGAAATGAAACCCCACCACCTTTGGTTTGTATTCTGTTCCTGGTACGACGGTAACTGCATCTCATGATCATTGCTGAATATAAAATGTTTTCTCGCATTTTGTCTTTGCTTAACATCCTGGGGTGTGAAAACGGCACTTGTGCGAAATTGCTCGTGCTGGATGCCTGCACGCATGCATGCTTGATTAATTTCCTGAAAATTGTTCCAATTTTACCCTGTCAATGAACTGCTTTAAAGAAATCGCTTGAATTGAAAGAGCAGGAAGCTGCCAAAGAGCAGGAAAAAACTAAGACCGTGGAGACAAGTGCAGAGAAATTGCGTAAGATCCTAAAAGAAGAGAAAAGGTAACGTCATCGCCACCATATTCATTCACGATGTTATTCCTCTTAAGCACATATTTGGTCACATACACACTGCATCTAAATACAGTTGTTCTGTACACACAGTAGGGCCACACCAAGGATGATAAAGTATGGAAGGAATGATGATTTTTGTAATCACTTTTTTTCCAGCTGATAAATGATGTAAACATTGAGAGCCAATCAGAATCCATCTTATTTTAAAGAGCTTGAGCATTTAAAATGACAGGTGACATAACAGCTGTTAGTTTATAATAAACAGGATGATGTAGTTATCGTTCTTGGTGTGAACGGGCCTTAACAACTGAATTTACATTAAATCTATATAGTTATGTAACGCATAGCAATGTCAGTTGTTGAAATTCAAGGAGTGACATCTATATACCATTAAGCGATAATTTAGGTCATTCAGTCCAACATTTAAATTAGGGCTGGGCAATATACTGAATATTCACAATATATTCACCATGATTATTCTGGTTATATAATGTTAAAGGGCACCTATTATGCCCCTTTTTACAAGATGTCTTGGGTGTCCCCAGAACGTGTCTGTGAAGTTTCAGCTCACAATAACCCTATTATATCATTTTGAAAATGCCTTTTCTGAGTGGAAGCGGAAACACGTTGTTTTATTTGCATGCCTCTTTAAATGCAAATGAGCTGCTGCTCCCCGCCCCTTTTCCAGAATAGGAATGTGCCTTTACAGCTGGTATATCAGACATTCTGCTAAAAACCTCTGTTTGGTTTTGTTTATCATGCCTATTGTGCTGAAATCATGTGTTTTAAAGCAATATCAGTTTAAACTTGTGATATACGGTTTTCTGAGCGCACACATCTGAAGCACACGCACAGAAAGCATGTCACACGGCATGAGTACTACACTAAGTTCTCTTTCATGTCTTATTGCGCTTAAACTGTCAAATACGTTTATAAGTTATAAACACAGTCAGTTACGTCTGTGAAAGTAAACAGCTGGGAAGGAAATCGCATGTTTATGTTAGATCTTAAGTGACGGCATTGCAATACAGTACCTATACCGCTGTTAATATGAGCCAAACAATAAAATAAAAGCAGAAAATCACTCACCGCTCTGGACCAAGGTTATTTTCGTAAACGAAAACTAAGACTAAAACGATTGATGAAAAAACAATTTCGTAAACTGAAATAAAATAAAAACGTCAAAATAATTGAAAAACTAAAACGAAACTAAACTAACAACAGTTATTGAAAAACTAACTGAAATAAAATAGTAATTATCAAAAATATTTGTTTTCGTAATCATTACGTTCTCACCCCTTGGCGGAAAAATATACGAGCTGTGTGGAGGTTTACAGCAGCACTAATTTAATTCTGTACCAGACCAGAACCGTTTGACATAAAGACCGCGAGTCGCGACCCGAACCTCACTCGCATTAAATCTATTACATCAGGTAAGCAAGATTATTTATTTTGTCATGTAACACAAGCAATCAAACCAACATTAGGCATTCTAAGTTGGTGCTTTGAAGAAAAACGGACATGCTACTTAACAGAACATGATAATTAACAGAAAAAAAGATGAGAACGCGCATCCTTTCTGTAAACAACACACAAATTAAGCACGACTTGTGTAGATTAATTTAGTAAAAAAAAAGGCTTGCCTGCTTTCTTTAGTGTATATTTGTATAGGCCTACTTTTACTATCTAATCAATCTCGGCATGCGTTAATTTTGTGTTGCTATATGTTTGTCTCACTAAGGTTAAATTATGCCTACGTCTTTCTTTGGCCTGCGCTCTGGAAGTGATCTGTTAATTCTGCTAAACTTGAATTAAATCTGAAACTAAACTATATAAAAACTAAATAAAAATGCGTTCACAAAATAAAAACTAAACTAAAACTAACAAAAATATGAATTAAACTAATAAAAACTAAACTGAATTTTATAGCAAATTTGAAAATGATATTAAAATAAAACGAATTAAAAAATTTAAAACTATAATAACCTTGCTCTGGACTGAATAACATCTATAGCTTTAATAAGAAGACATTTCTTACTTGAATGCTGCTTTTTAAATGCTCTAGCGTGAAGATAAACATGGCAGATTGTGTGCGGCTCACTCAGGGCGGGGTCTCTGCTAATACAGCAGTGTCTGTCAACAGTCGTGGGCGGGGCTTGTAAAATGTGACATCACATTGTACAGATTCTGCAAACGGCTTGTTCTGAGACACTGCTTATGATTTATGGGGCGTAACTTTTTTTCTCGCTGTAGTATTGTCGTCGTGGAGACGCTGTGTTGTTTCCAAATATGGTAAGGGGTGTGACATTTCGGACAGTGTTCGGCCAATCACAACGCACTGGATAGCTGGCCAATCTGAGCACACCGTGCTTTTCAGACCGATGAGCTTTGTAAAAATCGACGCGTTTCAGAAAGGCGGGGCGGAGAAGAGCAACAACAATGTACGGTATGTGGAAAATAATGTGTTTTTTGAACCTTAAACCACGTAAAAACACATTGTATTGCACCAAATACACAAAATAATGTTATTTTCAGCATCGTCATATGACCCCTTTGCGTTGTTTTCAAATGCATCTGCTTACATACAATCATTTATTTCTGCTGCTGCTTCAGTGTGTCTTGATCCGGAGATTCAGTACTCGTTCAGAAGATGTGTAATAGCGCCTCCTACCATATGGTAGTGAAGACACAAAGACGGAAAATTCTTTCAATTGCAGGGAAAGAGTTAAACTATATCGCCTAGCCCTGATTTAAAAATGGTTTGTCAGTGCCAAAACTTTGCATTGTGTATGTGACCATTGAAAAGTACTTCTTCCATCAAAAAAGGTAAGAACTCTTCTATTTTACGGTTTTAATCATTGCTGACGCCCCATTTTTTGACGGGGCTAACAATGTCTTGCAAGTTTCAGCGTGCTGTTTGCTTTCATGTAGAATGAAGAAGAAAAGGAAGCGGTCGACCTCTTCCTCTACATCCTCAGATACGTCTTCAACTTCAAGCGATGACTCTTCTTCAACGAGTCGTAAAAAGTCGAAGAAACGGAAACACAAGCGCCGCCGCTCATCTCACGGCAGTAAGAAACACAAGCGGAGAGCGTCGTCTTGTAGCGATAAAACGGTAGATGATGACATAGAGTGGTTTCCCGCTCCTGCCAACACCTCCGCTTCCTACATCGACCAGAAACAATCCATAAGCAAACTCATCAGCGAAGGAGAACAGTCTTGGGAAAAAAGCCGATGTGAAGATGGCAGAGGTAGGTTAGATGATGCTATTGACAGAAGTCTGGAGAACCTCAAACATGGAGCCCAGTCTGAAGCGTCTAGACCGGGACGTCCCGATGTGAACGGCGAGGTTACAGATCAACACAGGACTCAGAGCATCTCTGAATGTGCCAGAAACAGGAGGGATTCATCCTCAACCCAGTCCGAATATTCCCAAAAATCTGATCGCTACTCTAAGGAATTTTCTTTGCAAGGCAGAAAACGTAGTGAATCAGAACGAGGCGGGAATGAGAAGATGGATAAAGGAGAGCGAAATAGTCATGATCAAGATGACGGCAGGAAATCTTCTGGTGGATCCCTGAAAAAAGATATCCCTTCCAATTTGTTGGACATTTTCAGTCAAATCGCTGAATTTGAGAAGGAAAAAAAGCTGCAAAAATAAAGTAGTTGCTCTTTAGGGCTGTCAGGAGTAACATTAGTCGTGGTTTCAATACTGGAACTAGCAGGTTTAACCCTCAAGTATAGTAATTGAAATATTTGCTAGTTTACGAAAAGTTGTTCAGAACTGTTTATTTTCATAATTTCAGGTTAGATATTTTTTTTTTGCTTTGGGGGGAAGCAGCCTGTCTCTAAAAAAAAACTGCTATAAAACTGAGCAGTGGCCAAAATGTGTGATGCAAATGATGCCTCAGTATTATACATTGCATTCAGTATAATGTCAGTGTTCAAATAAACAAATGTAATGGTCAAAAAGTGCTATCGTGTAGTGTTTGCTCTTGTCTGTTTAAACCGTTTTTTTATTTCCTATGGGATGCAAAGTGGTCTTCCAGCAGGGGTTAAAAGGCAGTCATCAGCTAAGCCACATTAAAGTTTTAGGACTTTGCACACTAAAATATAATGCAGACTTTGAGAAATATCAAGTTGCATTTGACAGTTAACTTAGTAGTGTGTCAACTTAAGGTTCATTTTAATGCTCTTCTTGGTATTATAATGAATTATTAAAATCTTAAGACAGTTTGCTTTAACAAAAAGAGAGAAGAATAATTGGATTTATTTAAATCCATGCTTGTTTTTTTGCAATATACTCATTTCAAAAACAGTGAGATCTGAAATGGACAAAATCTGTAAAATGATTACCAATTTAAACAATATTCTCAAAAGATGATGTTTGTTTTTTTTCGGGAGAAAAAAACATTGGAATATTTCTTAATAAATTGGCCATTTTTCATGCACTTAAATCTGAAGCTGAAGGAATGTAAAATTCATCCCTTGTTAACTCAGTTGTGTTATAGTGAATAAAAAAAACTAACTTTGTTTAAACTGTTGTTTTCAATATTTTATTACATTATTTTAAGACATATGATGAGGACAAAAACTATTGCTACCTGGGTTAAAACTAAGAAATAGTTTAAAGAAAGTACTATGAATATTCACTTGATGTAGACCTATTTATTGGATTATTGTTTTAGTTCGATATTGCCACTGTACATATGAAATATCAATTCAAAATGTCACTCTTTTTCAGATTCAGTGTGTAGTCCATCAGAGGGCAGTGTAACACTGGACATCCTCTGTAATGGGCTTTGATGTCCTTTTGCCCTCTCATAATATTGTAATAACACAGCCTTACATTAACTGAAGTACAGTCCATTAAAGTCAAATGCAACACACACATATTTTCAATGAGCAAAAAAACAAACGATAAACAATGAAATAAGACCGTTAAATTCAATAGGTTTGATTCCATTGATTGACTTACAGGAGAGTTACTGCTGCTTAATCGAGTAGAATAGGGGTTTTGACTTTTCAATACCAAGGACCCCTGAAAATGTGATGATCCCTTCCTAAAATATATTTCCATACTATATACGGTGAATACATGTAATTATATTTAATGTAATTTTACAGTAAAATACTGTTAAAATGACAGTTTTTGGAAGTGAAAACGAAAAAGTCATTCTATAATTTACAGCAGGGCTGTCCAAACTCCAGCTGAATGTACTGGCAAGCAAACATAAGTTTGTAGGGCCACTCAAATTTTTTTTTCAAGTATACACAATATATAATGAATAAAAGCTCATATATACCTGTATAGCAGAAGTCGTGGGCACTAAAGGTCCACTAGTCCTTGAGTAAGTCGTAATAATGGCTGTGGGCTTAGGACAGACATGACTGCGTTTGATGAAATGGCAGATTTTCTGTCCAGGATTTACCCATCATCCCTCTGTGCCACTCAGTGATGGGAAACTGGATGGGCCCTTTCAGAGGAGAAATTTGGTTTGTATGAAGCTATTCTCTGAAGGGATAATCGGACTGAGGAACATGCTGACTATGAAGAGGCTTTCAGTTCAAACTGAAACGGGAAAAAGACATCATGTGGTTAAACTAAAGGAAGCACTACTGAGTTCTTGGGGCATGACTTCATGCTCGAAAGGAAAATGAACATGAAGTCTTACCAGTGCCTTAAGTTTTTGATTAATTAGAACGTAAAGGCCCTTTAAACTTCTTGGACAAAGGAACACATTAGATTTAATAGCAAGAAAGAATAACTCTTCCAGCTGTAGAGAACCAAATCTCATGGCCCATCCGTACGTCCCTCGTGGGTTTATATTTTTGTTTCGTCAAAGAAAATGTGGCTGTGATCATAGTCTGTATCTCATATTCTAGCAATGTGATCACATTCGCAAAATTTGGCGGGAAAAAAGTCAATTTCCCGTTGTTAATAGTGTAGAGATGTAGCATGGCTCGCATAATCACTTTAAAACCAAGCAGTTTTTCTGCAAATTTGCTTGATCATCGTCACGTGAACATGAGCAAAATCTGTGTGGGCAAGTTTTTCACGCTCATGCTAAACTTCCAATTGCACAGATTCCTATCGAAATGAATTCCCGCGAAATTTCACAGAGCAAACGGTAACCGCACGTTAAAGTCGTATTTACAGTAATGTTCTGGGTTCAATACAATTCAATACAAGTTAAGCTCAACAGACAGTATCTGTGATAATTACAACAAAATATCTTCTTCAGATTGCAAAATCGAGTAAACCACATTTACAGTACTTACAATGTAAGTCTGAGGCGAGGCAATATGGCGGGATAAATGCTAAATACCAAACATAAACATTAAACTATACCATGACACTAATTCTGTAGTTTTCACCACATCTCAAACGATGCAGGCCTATTGTGGTTAATAGAATTATGTGGTGGAAATGATGGTGGTGAAAATTTTTGATGGTCTTTGTTTGAAATGAAATGGCGAGTTTTGTCTTCATAAGCTGCTAGCATTTCATGTATCAAAAGTACACGCAATTACACAATATTTTCACATTTTCTTGCATAAATAGAGCATTTGAAAAGTAGCAAAAATGAACAATAAAAGTGAAAAAAAAAATAGATCTGTTTACATCTACGTTCTTTTTACTTCAGACGTTCTTTTTAACAATATCAGTTACATTCACTTTAGTCTGGCTGTTTTTTTTGTTTTTGTGTTTTTTTCAGTCAGATCAAGAAGAAAAAACACATTCACAGGACTTCTGTAGCATACTTTCTTGCTCAAATGTTTTTCTTCTTATCAGCAAAACACTATTTTACTCGGCACGTTCAAAAGCACATTCAAACATTTTAGTTTAAACTACTTTCCACAAAAAAAAAACATCCAATCAAACTGAAGAAAAAATGACCGTAAGCAAATGCACTTGCAACAAATCACTATGCAAATGAGCGGATATTGTGCCGTCCCCAAGCACGGCGTCTCCAGGCTTGTTGTTGTGGCAATAACCGATGATGCATCACGATTAGCGCCAAACACGCTTTTCTGAGCGATGACATTTTGTACCGCGTCGTCCCGTGTATTCAAACGCATTAGAAAAGCCTGTGAATTGCATTACACTCGTACCCTAGAAAAGATTTGGGTTAATTTGGCAAACACAGAGTCTCTGAGTCTACAACAGTGCTTTAGAAATACTCAGACACGAGGATGGAAATTTCAAGAGAGCAGAATTTCTGAGACAGGAAGGAGAAAAAAGTGCTGACTCCGGTTGCTGGAACCGGCCTTGGCTAAATCCAGTGAAGAGATATGAACACTTTCTAATTTGCTTCCCCCCTATTTTAATAATAGCTGTGCATAAGTAATTTATGAGAGGCCAGCCAGCACTGAGCATGGGAAAATTAAACTCATTTTATCGTAAAGCAGGTGGATTTCTATTTATCATTAGCATTCATACAATTTTCACAATGTTATTCCTCATACTGATGGAATGTAACCAAATAATGTATGAAGGTTTTTTTTTTTTTGGCTTGTGCACAAGTGAAATTCAAAGATAAAAGTGCCAGGCGCTTGCAATTTTCTGCCACCCCAACCTAATTCTCCAAGCTTCTTATTACAGCACAGATTCATTTGCTCTGAGTTAAAGCGACATTAGGATTCACATCTGATGAAATGCAGGACGTCCTTTGTATCATTAGTCGCACACCGCCTCCAAAAGACGTGCAAATTTGAACCTCGGCAAGCAGAAACATTCCTATTACATTATGCATTATCGCATCTGTGTCAACATTAAAACTGTGCCATCTAAAAACTTTTTATATCAAATGTGCATGTTTCCGTCTGTTGTGGCTGTGTGGGAACATGTGTGGGATGGGGAAAAGCGCTAATTCGGAATATATATGAACCTGGGACATAAGCAGATTATGGGCATTTAGAATGGTTTGTTATCATAATATTCTGTGCAGCATATTGCAAACTTGTGTTGGCCAGTTTAAAACATGCCGTTGAAGATCATAGTTAATTCTGCTGATTTATGGTAATTCTGTGGCGCTATCACATGTGGCATCAGAAACACTAACAAGCTTAGCATAAGCTTCTGCTGAAACCTTATGAGGTTTGAATTCCTGGAACGACTGCGGACGGTGGAGCAAAAATCTCACTTCAGCAGAAACGGGCCGATTCCGGCTCTAAAAATTAGTGCTACTGCATATATTTTTGCAAGGGAAGGTAGTCTGGGCCTTGCTGGAAAATGCCATGTTTATTCATTTGGGGAAAGTCAACTCTTTTCCAATTTTGCATGAGTTGGTACATCTTTATTTTATAAAAAAAATAGCAGACTTATCAGTTAAATCAATGTAGATTATGTGATCAATAAGTAATATTTCTCATATATTCTCATTTATGTTATTTCAATAAACACTTAAAGGGTTAGTTCACCCAATAATGAAAATGCTGTCATTAATTACTCACCCTCATGTCGTTCCAAACACATAAGACCTTCGTTCATCTTCGGAACACAAATTAAATGCGTCATAAAAAAAATGTGTCATGGTACTGTTGTGAACGTGCGTCGAAGACTGACAGGGAAAATAAGAAATTGTTGCATAAAGTCATTATTTTTGTTTTCTTTGCACACAAAAAGTATAAAGCTCGTAGCTTCATAACATTACTGTTGAACCACTGATGTCACATGGATTATTTTACCGATGTCCTTGCTACGTTTCTGGACCTTGATCGTGGTAGTACCCTTGCTGTCTATCGAGGTTTCAGAAAGCTCTCGGATTTCATCAAAAATATCTGAATTTGTGTTCCGAAGATGAACAAAGGTCTCACGGGTTTGGCACAACATGAGGGTGAGTAATTAATGACAGAATTTTAATTTTTGGGTAAACTATCCATTTAAGTAACCACATCACATGGTCTGTGTTCTTGACAAGAAAGATATCTCAAATCACAAGGCATTATTACTTTTCTAAGAAACTGAC